CAGTTTCCTGCGCAGCTGGCTGTGTGCAGATAGGCAGCCTGGGGACCAGGGAGAGCTGGCTCTGGGAGCAGAGGCTTATCTGCCTTCTAGGCTGGGCCCGGCAACAAGACCATTGTTCACCCCACACTGGGTGGGCATCGATGGGCATGGACACCCACCCCTCAACCTCTGAGGATACTGCCCTGGGCCACTTGGAGCAGAGGGATCTGGAATTCATAACAGAATGGACCTCAAGCAGGAGCACCTGAGGGCTGGGGTCGGGAGTGGAGGGCAAGCTCCAGCTCTCTCAGACCCATCCCCTTCTCCCTGTTGCCCCTACCTTGGCTCGAACTCACCTCCCTCACCCGCAGCGGCCCCCTCCCTGTCCTCGTCCTCCAGCTCCTCATTCATTTCATGTGTTCTCCTACTGGATACCAGTCTCTCGAGGTACAGTTCCAACTCTGTGACTCCCTGCTCTGAATCTTCTTATGGCTCCTACTCCAGGAGCCATAAGAAGATTCAGTCAGTCCCTTAATCAGATGTAGGGTCTGTCATTAGCATCCAGCTGGGCCCGCTCTGCAGGCTCCATCACCCGCCTTCCTCCCCCGAAGTCCTCATGTATCTTAAACAGATTGCTTCTCTTGTCACCAGGCCTTTGTGTCCTATGTCTGGAATGCTAACCCTGACCCACTCATTCCTGTCTTTCACATATCAGCTTCACCCAGTCTGCCACAGCTAGGGTTATTCTTTGTCACCTCCAAAATGGGATTCTTATCACAGTCATCTCTGTGTCTGCAGCTGGAAGCCTCAGCGGGGGTCAAATGAGAGAAAGAGTGGGCAGTCAATAAGCTGGAGCCAGTGAGTGGGTAAGGGTGACAGAAGTCACAGAAAGTGTAACAGCTCAGTGCCCAAAGCTGGCATGGTGCCCCTCCAGAGAGAGTGAGACTCCCAGGGCACATGCAAGCAGACTTGTCAGGATGCTGTTAAGGGGGTTTCTGCCCTGGGCAGCTGTTAGATTCAGTGGGCCTTGTGTTAAAAATAAAATTCCCAGTCTGACCATGGGCCTCCTGAGTTGACTCTCTGGAGGCACCCGGAAGCTTATGTTTTTATCACACTGCCCTGGCAATGCTTGCGCAGATGAGCCCAACTCTCCTGACCACCATGAGGTTTGGAGTGCCCCCAGCCATCCCATCAACTCCTGGGTCTCAGCAAGGCTCATCCTGCCCTTCTTGTGGTCTGCCATGCCTCACCACTGGCTCTTCACACCTGCCTCTCCCTCAGAGCAAGAACCTCCTCCTATTGGATAGGGTAGGGAGCCAGCACTAGAGCCTTGAAGCATCCAGCACTTGGATATCCACAGACTTTGCACCACGGAGAGAGGGCTCTTCATAGCCAGAGTCCAGAGACGGGCAGGAGTGGCCTGGCCTTGGACTTGAGGCACTGCTTATGACCCCTGGGAGACCCGCCCCCTCCTCTCTCTGGGTCTTAGCTCCCCTTCTGTCATCCCTCAGGACCTTCTGACTTTCTCCTGAGCGGGACAGTGTAGGCCCAATGAGGAATGGGACTGGACCATTTACGGAACTACTCCTGGAAAGTAGCAATTTGCTGGTAGCCCTGCCCTTGGTGAGCTGAGCTCAGCCTCGACAATGAGGCAGCCATGTGGAGCAGATCCAGAGAGAAGCCCAGCAGTCATTCAACCTGGGAAGGCCACAGATCTGCCAGTATGCAAGACCCAGACCCCTCAGGAAAGACCCCTATCTACCCAGCTATGCAGCCCCCAGCCATCATCGGGACCTTTCTAAAATGTGTCCACATCCCTCCTGCTCATGACCCAGCAATAGCCCCCACCACCTGCAACAGCATTTCCCCAAACTGGCCTGGCCATTCAGGTCTTGCCTGTCATCTCCACCCTGCCCTCCTCTCCGGCTTCAAATTCCAGCACTTCCCACCTGGGCTCAGACCCTGCAGTCCCCAAACATACCACCACCTTTCTCTAGGCCTTATCGCCTCGTCCTTCCCTATTCAAGTTCCCCTGAAGCCCCGGCAGAAATTGCCCCACCCCTCCACCCCAGTGTGGTCAGTGCTGTGGTCCTGTATTTCTGTCTCCTGTCTCCCAACACAGAATCTCAGGGTGCGAAGCAGTGGGGGAACAGAGTTCTTCACGAGGTCAGCCACCAAGTTCAAGGGTGCCCTTGCCCAGAAGTTCATGTTCGTGGATGGAGACCGGGCCATCTGTGGCTCTTACAGGTGACTCCTCGGCTTTCTGGGGGCTGGGGGAAGAGGCGGCTCCAGTTCTCAGCTGGTTTCTGCCCTTAATCCTACCTTATGACACCCTGGTTATTCCAGTTCATTGGTCCCAAAACTGCTGAGGTGTGAGCAGGGCTGGGGCACACCCACACGCCACCCACCTATCCCCAGAAGCAGGCTTTTGTCTTTGAGACTGTTGTTCCCACCTAAAGATGTCACCAGCCTGGAGTTGGGGCGTGGGCCAGGCCAGGCTGCATCTTCCCAGACCCACAGGGTGGTCATTCTGAATGCTGTCCTCAGATCCGGGGCCAGGATGAGAACAACCATGGCTCAGCTCTGAGAGGCCTGCCACACAGCGGGTAGCAGGGTGGGTGCTGCCCACGGCCACTCAGGATGTTGGTAGTGACAAAGACACGAGGTGTCCAAGGCTGCTCTGTGCATTCTGAGTGGCCTTAAGGGGTGTTGTAATCCCCATAGGAATGCAGCACTGTGCTGTGTTACATAGGTGGGAGAGGGCTTGGTATCAGCGACTCAGCTGAGATCCCAGACTGAGGTCTGGCCCTGAGGCTTGTGCCCTGTCCTCTGTCCCCACTCACTGCTCAGTCCCATCCAGGGCCCCTTAGCCAGTCTGATGAACAGCAGCCTGCGGGGTATATGGCAGCTCACTTGGACACCCACTGTAAGGGGACCTTGGGCCTGAGGGCGGAGGCAGGCCCCACATGACTCACCAAGCAGCCCCCTTCCCCTGTGTTGCAGCTTCACGTGGTCGGCCGCAAGGACTGACCGGAACGTGATCTCCGTGCTGTCCGGCCAGGTGGTGGAGACGTTTGACCGGCAGTTCCAGGAGCTGTACCTCATGTCACATGGCGTCAGTCTCAAGGGCATCCCCATGGAAAAAGAGCCTGAGCCAGAGCCCATCATATTACCCACCGTAGTCCCGCTGGCACCTTCGGGCACCATGGCCAAGAAGCTCGTCAACCCCAAGTATGCACTGGTCAAGGCTAAGAGCGCTGAGGAGATTGCCAGGGTCTCCTCTGAGAAGCAGGAGGTCAAGAGGCCCCTGGGGCTACGGGGCCCAACACTGGCTGAGCAGCCAGGAGACCTCCCCGAAACACTGCTGCCCATCCACCCAGGGCTGCTCAACCTAGAGCGGGCCAACATGTTCGAATACCTGCCCACGTGGGTGGAGCCAGACCCGGAGCCGGGCAGTGACATTCTGGGCTACATCAATATCATCGACCCCAACATCTGGAACCCCCAGCCCAGCCAGATAAACCGCATCAAGATCCGAGACACATCCCAGACTGGCACCCAGCTGTGGAGGCAGAACCAGGACTACAGCCCCACCCCAGAGCCCAGCACCCCCCAGGACCAGGTCCCAGCTGGGAATGGCCTCTCCCAGGAGGACCCTGAGTCACAGCCCCCCATGCCCAAGCCCCGGACAGTCCCTGTGGCGCATGTGCTTGCCCAGGATGGCAGTGATATTGGCTGGGCCCTGGAAAGCCGAGAAGAGGAGGTTTCCCAGAATGGGACAGACTGTGGACTACACAGGACACCAGGCCCAAGCCAGGCGCCACCCCGGCGACAGCTGTCTATGACCCAGGATGACCCTGACGGCAGGGGGGCAGTGATCCTCAATGGGTTAGATGGGGAGGAGGAGGAAGACGACGATGACTACATAACTCTCAGTGACCAGGACAGCCTCTCAGGCAGCTCTGGCCTTGGCCCTGGGCCCCGGCGGCCCTCAGTGGCCTCTTCCGTGTCAGATGAGTATTTCGAGGTGAGGGATCGTTCAGTTACTCTCCAGAGGCGCCACTCAGAACAGGTAGCCAATGGGCCAATCCAGCCCCCCCGCCGACAGCTGAGTGCCCCCCACATGACCCGTGGTACCTTTGGTGGACCCCTGTGTGGCTCACCATGGGCTCAGAGTCAAGAGAGAGAAGAGTCGGGCACTTTGAGGAAGACACAGGCCTTGTACTCCACGGACAAGGAGACACAGGTAGGTTGGGGTCCCTGCGCACCAGGGGTCTGGGCATCTTTTCTCCTGGGCCTGAGTGTCCAGAATGGCCATCTGCTGTGGTCCCTCCTCCCTGGCTCAGACTCTTTCCTTGTTACAGATGGAGAAACTGGTATACGGGGTGGGGAATGAGTAGGAGCCACCCAAGACCACACATGTGGTATGTGACTACCAGCATTGGAGACCCTCTGCTCCAGTGTGCCCTAAAGGCAACCTGTGCCAGCTACTGGGAGCCAAATAGAAGTGCACTTAATATACCCAGAGGTTTCAGACACATGGTGTTATAGGAAGTTGACACCTAGTTTTTGGATTAGGAAATGGCAGTGCACAGAGATGTTCATAACACTCCCAAGGTCACACAGGAGTAAGTGGTCCTTGTCTGGGCCTTAATGCCAAGCCACCTCTATGTCTGTCACTTTGATGATAGTCCTGGGGACCACTCTCTTTCCCGCTCCTCCAAGCCGGATATAGCTCACATTCATCCTTTGCATCTCCTCCTGGTGACCTTTGCAGCCCCGGCCCCGCCACTGACACCTGTCCTACCTGGGAACAAAGCACGGCTGATCATGCCCGGCATGATGATCAGGCCCATGGGCAGCATCTTGAGGTAGCTGGCCAGCACAGAGCCCGCTTTGGCATGGTTCAGGTTCCTGGCAGACAATGACCGCTGCACAATGACCTGGGGGCACAAGAAGGGAGTGAGTGCCAGGCCCCCACCCCCAACCCGGGGGGCCTGTGAAAGGATTTCGCCCTAGTGAGCCTCAGGGAGTGGCATGAGACATGATGCTCTCCCACTAGTGCCATATGTACCCAAGACGACTGCAGCCTGAGCCTGATACCTGATGGTTCCCTCCAAAAGGAGAGCTCACCCTGATAGGCCAAGCAGCTGGGGCCAAGGTACTCTCATTCCAGGGACTCAATCTCCCCATCTGTTGAATAGGGAAAGTTTAGATCCTGCCTAGCCCACCACCTGGCAATTAGCAGAGCTGGAGGAGACTCTGGGTGGGACGGTATCAGGGGACCCTCCCCCGATCCCCTACACCCACAAGAGTGGCTGGCATGCTCATATCTGTGGCAGGAGGAAATATTGGCAATGTGTTTTGCACATTGGAGGTCAGGAGCTTTCAGACCTGGGGTTTGGGGAAGCTTACAGTTCAGTAGTGGAGGGATGCTAGAATTGCCTGAGGGCAGCTCCTCAGGTAGCCTTAGGCAGATCCTAGCTGGGCCTCATTTCCCAGGTCTGTAGAATGGGAGAAGGAGAGGGGCAATAGCAACTGATGGCATCTGAGATCCCTCCCAACTCTCAGGTTATGATTCTACTTTAAAAAAAAAAAATAACAACTGTTTTTAAAACAGCTTTACTGAGATATAATCCACCTATGTATGGTTCAGGCACATAAAGTGTACATGTTAGTGAGTTTTTGTATGTTCACAGCATCGTGCAATCTATAACTTTTAAATGTGTTTTCCCTTTTGCTGTTCTGTAGTTTAAATCACCACCAGCAATTCAGAAGTAGGAATTATCTATGATTTTAACTATGTTCCAAACATGCTAATTTAACCGATAGCTCCCAGCGTTTTCCTCTAAGGTGCGGCTCTCGGACGCATGAATTACACGGTGCTGGGGGTGGTAGTGCCGGGTATGTGGGACAAGCTGATTTCAGTCCTGTTTTCTACCAGCTTCTAGTGACTTGGGACAAGTCCTTGCCTCACTTTGGGCTTCAGTGTCCCTGTTTGGACGATGAAGGAGTTAGACATGGTTCTCTGTAGACCCTTCCCCTCTGATATTTTATGATTACAAGAACCCAGGGTTACTCTTCATGGGAGAAGAGAAGCATTTCCCTAAAACCCTGCACATCATATTCTATTCTTTCATTCTCTGCTCTTGGTGGCTGGCCCTGAGAAGCAGACAGGACTGGTACTGCTGCCCTGTTCTATAGGTAGAGAAACTGAGGCTCAGGAGACCCCATCAGGTCTCCTGTTTTATTGGTTTTGTTTGTTTCTGATTACAAGAGTGTTACCTATGCATTGCGAATGAGCTAGGAGATAGTGGAAGGAAGTCTAAAGAAGAAAATGAGAAGCATTCATGGTCCCAGCACACAGAGCCTCCACCTGGCGCTGACCAGACTGAGCGTCTTGGATGGGGGCCCTGGCCCAGGGCTGAGTAGACTTAGCCCTCCGGAGCCTTCGGTTGCTAGTGAGGGTCACAGCAGAAAGGACCAGGCAGACAGGACCCAGTGCACCAGTTCCTGCCTTGTGGGTGTTCTGGACCAAGGCCCAGCTACCCCTCCGGCAGACCCAGACTAAGCAAGAGGAGGATGGGGAGGTAAGCTGAGGCTGTGGGCCACCAATGTCAGTGGTACTCTGGACCAACCACCTTGGGGTCCAGTATCTCACCTATGCCTTCCTATGTGACCCTCATGTCTAGGCAGTGAGACCCATTCAGCCCTGAACCCATTCCAGTCCACGGGAGGTCCCCTGAACTTAAGGCCAGGCCCAATGTGCTGACTCACTTGGCCTTCATGGGAAAATCTCCTGAATGATACCCCGCCCAGAGATGCCAGTGCCACTCCAGGCCTGTGTTGAGTGGAGAGGAAAGGGGCACGGGCTGGCCCAGCAGGACAGTTAAGACACCTCTAGCATACCTTCTACGGCTAGCCTTTCAACCAGCAACTCGCCCACCCAGGCTTGCTGATGTGGGAATCTTGGGGCACCATGTTACAAAAGGGAAAACTGAGGCCCAGCATCCTGGGTTTTCTAAAGCCTCCGAACCTAGATTGCTTCCCACTATCACAGCCCAGGGAGGGTCTTTCGGTGAATGCACACTGAGCACCTACTTCTGGGAGAAGAAGAGCCCTCTGAGCACTCCTCTCACTGTATAGGCAGCCGTGGCCCCATGAGAAGTCGCTTACTCCGCATGGAGATCCCGGTCCTGCCCTCTGGGCTTCAGCGTTGCAGCCTATGAATGGAACTGGTTGAGCCTCCCCAACCCACAGGGAGGCTGTCCCCATTTACTCCACAGTGACTGGGCTGGGCTGGCCCTCGGGCCTGGCTGCCTCTCTCCCATGGAGGGGATGCCAGGGGTGCTGGTCTAGAGGCAAGGACGGTCATCAGGCCTTTGCCCACTGAGGCTGTTACTTCACGAGGCCTTTTCCAACCTAAGTGGTACCTAAAACTGCCAAAGACCTTCCAAGGCAAGCAGAGTAGGGGACATCATCTGTTTCTGCCTAGAGAAGGGAAGAGACTGTCTGAGGTCACCTGGTGCATTTTTGACTCAGAGAGGTCTAGAGTCAGATTCCAGAAGAAGACCTACCCCGCTGCACTCACCAGAACTATGAACCCAGATCAAGGCACTGCTTCTGTCAACCTGGTTCAGCCCCATTTACAGATGTAAGAGGCTAAAGCAGGGGCATTGAGGAACAGTGGGAACTTGCCTTATCACAACTCATATAACAGGGATAAACTGAGGCACAAAGTAGTGAAACAAACTTGTCTAGGACTACCAGTTAGTGAGTCGCAGGGCCAAGAAGCAAACCCAGGTGTATTGGCTGCACCTGCTTAGTGAGAATCCCGTGGAGAGGGATGAAGATACTCCTTGGGATCTCATTCTGTCTGCTCTCTCTCTCTCACAGGGCCAGCAGTTCCACCGTTATGGAGTCCCTGCCTCGGGTACCAGGGATAAAGATGGCTTCCCACGGCCGTTGAGGACCCCAGGACCCCCACGGTACCGCCCTGTTACAGAGGGCACCCAGAGCTCTACCAGGAAAGCAGGCCCCCATCTCTGGCAGGCCAAGGGTGGCCTCATGCCCCGCACACTGCCGGATCCTGGGAGCCCAAAGCTGACCCGAAATGCCAGGCCCATGACCGATGGCAGGGCCACTGAGGCACACCCAAGTCCCTTGGGAATCCCATACTCCAAACTTTCCCAGTCTAAGCACCTGAAGGTCAGGACGGGCGGCGGCCAGTGGGCCTCATCTGATTCTAAACGAAGGGTTCAGGCCCCCCGAGACAGCAAAGACCCCTAGTACCCTGTCCCCAGGCCTGGAGCCAGGCCATCTGCGGCCTCTGCCCTAGCTCAGACTCACCATGCAGGTGTATGTTTGTGGGGCCGCACGAGGGATTAGCATATGGGCTGCCCAGACCCTCAAGAGCCCACCCTAGAAGACAGGAAGGTGGTGCAAGCAACGATGATGACACTTACCTGGTCAGTGCACCAGTACCAGGTGGCCATGATGGTCAGACCAAAGGTCATTCCAGTCCATGGGAGGTCCCCTGTGTAGGGGTCTCGGAACATGTGCATAGCGTCTGCACGTGGCAAATGGCAGGTTGCGTTGGTGATGGTCTTGGATGGGACGGCCCGGGCATAGGCTGCCGCCAGCTGCTCGTACCCACCGATCTGGTTGAAAGCTGGTAGGGTTGGGGCGGGACAGGGATGGGTTGGTGGCTGGTAGCCCCCATTGTCCTCATCTCACAAGGAACTTCCTAATACATCAAACTTGACTTTTTCCCACTTCACCTTTCCCAGTGTCTGGAAAGGTGTGGAGGGTAGAGGGTATTCGAAAAAGGTGAATTCAAATGACTATTTTATTTGTATTTAAAATAATACTATTAAATGATTATTTTGCACATGGGCAGCCCAGTGTCCTGTTGGCTTCTGGATGCTGGTTGATCTTGGGCAAGGGGTTCTCTGCCAGGCTTCAAATTGATAATTCAAGGAAGCAAAAGTCTTTTTTCTTGATGTTTGAGGACCTTCTGAGGAGTCTGAAATGTTAAGGTCCTGATGCAGGGGCTTCTGAAGGACATACTTTGGGCAGAGCTGAGAATGGCTGGCAGTGATGTACACTTAAAAAGGAAATAGAGGTCCCAGGAAGGGCAGGAACATGACCAAGGCCACCCAGCCAGCCAGGGGTCGTTCCTCTTAAGCCCGTCACTGTTCCTGTCTACCTCAAGGCTGGCCCTGCATGGCCAAGCCCTGGCCCATCTGTGGTTTCTGCGATCACTCCCCTCCATTGAGATTGGGCCTGGCTGCCTGGGTCCCTCTGCTGCAGTGAGTTACAGGGACATGGACCCCTGATCTGATGAAGCAGATACCCAGAAGCCTGGACATAGGCAAACCCCAGTCTCAGCTCGCCCACCTGCCTTTCCAGGAAGCCTGCTGCCCGGAGTCTGGGCCCCCATCATCACTGCTGGCCAGGTTAGTATGAGTGCTCAGAGCAAAGGTACAAACACTACACGAGTTGGAAATTGCCAAGCCACAGGATCCTAGACTCTGAGTCTGGAAGAGACTTAAAATGCTTCTGTTCACCCTCTCTGGGATCCTCCTGGCTCTGCCTGCATACTTCCAAGGACAGAGAGTCCACTACCTATCTGGACAGCCCTCTGAGCTTCCCCCCTGTTCCCAGACCAGTATCACAGAATCTGTCTAAACTCCCTGCTCTACTCCCCTCCTTTGTGCAGCAGGCTGTAGCAGCACTTCTTGAGATCTTGTATATCATTCTAAACGATTGGAGTGGATGCCCCAGCAGTTTCGCGGTCTCCTAATTTTGTGTCTGCACATCCTTCCTGGGCCCCACCTCACCCTCAAGCCCTGAGCAGGGTGGGTGCGGCCAGCCCTGTGTTCCTTAGTCAGCTCTGAACCAGACCCTAACTGGCCAGGAGCTGGTGAAGAAATGCAGCTGAGCAGCACGGACGGAAGAGGAGCAGGCAGCCTCCATCACCCAGCGAAGGCCAGCTAATTGCTTCATGACTGTGCGAGCCATCCTCTCCCCCGAGTGCTGACACCTGGGTTCCAAAAGGGCAGCACCCAGACTTCAGAGGGCTTGCTGGGGTCAGCCCCACCCCAGCCCACAAACCCTCACCTTTAATAGTCAAGATGACAGCCCCCACTACCATGATGATCGTTTGCAGGGCGTCCGTGTAGATCACAGCAGCCAGGCCTCCTGTGGGAGGAAACAAGGGAGCCCTGGCCTTGAGGGAAGAGGGACAGGGAAGCAACTCCAGAGCTCCAGGGAGGACAGCTGTTCGCATCTGTGTTCCCTGCCCTTCCACAGGTGGGTGAGCTGTGGGACAAAGCAACTAGGCCAGCAGAGCCTAACTATAAATCTCTTGTCTGACTAAACCGGCCATGTCCCAGGCTGTGGGAGGAGGTGGCCCTCTGCCTCCTGCTCATGCCCCTAGCCTCTCGTATTCCAACACACGTTACCCAGCTGCACCAATGCCGAGCCCAGTGGTCGGGCCCCCTCTCTCCGGGACCCCTGCCCGACCCTGCCCAGGCGCCATACCTGCAATGGTGTACAGGGCTGTGATGATGAGCACGAGGATGGTGGAAAGGTAGAAGTTCCAGCCCAGGCAGATGTGCACAAAGAGAGCCCCTGCGTACAGGTCGATCTGCAATGGGAAAGGAGTCTTGTGCCAAGGCCTGAGGTGACCTCAGGACCCAGAGCACGAGTAAGCCCCGACTCCGCCACTCACTCACCCAGTGGCCTTAATGCCCTTGGATGAAAAAGGGATACCCTCCCCACACGCCAGGGGTTGGATGAGGGTGGGAGGAGGTCCTGGCTATGGACAAGCTGTGTGCAGGGGATGTGGCTATTGTTAATAAAGTCCTAAGTGGTCGATGCCCACCAGGGAGCAGTTTTGTTATTGAATCTGGCAGCTGCCTGGAATATGATGGGAAGAACTCTGTCCCTTCAGTACCCAGGAGGTCCTTGATGAGGAGGTCTTTCTGGAGGAGGGCCGCAAAAACTAGTGAGCCTCAGAAAACAGGTGCATATGTCTCGGTCTCTAGGTCTAGGTCTGTCTGGGTATACCTCCTGTTCTCTGCTCCCTGTTAGGCAGGGTCTCCAGAGAAAAGATCAGATATGTGCCAGGGGCAGGCTGGGGGAACAGAGGCAAGTCTTACTTACTGCCCCCTCCCCCAGTAGGGTTGGAACTGAAGCCAAGACCTTGTGTTAGGCCGAAGCTGGACTAGACACAGCCCCTGATGTCCCAGGATGCATGCATGTGGGTCAGAAATCATAGCCCCAGGGTGAGCACTGGACCAGGCCTTCTAGACTGTACTCCTCCCCAACTGCGAAGTGGGCACCCAGAGAGCAGGATGGAGGACCCTGTCCTATGGGACCTGGGGGCTGAGCACAGGGCTCCACCCACCTCCCCAAGTTTCCAAACCTGCTATTCTGTCAATAGACTTTATTTCAACCTGAAATCAATTCTCTGGGGCCAAGAAGTTCCTGAGAAGGCTGTGAGAGGCTATGGGGCCAATCTGCACAAGGCCAGGGGGCCCTAGCCCTTTCAAGCCACCCCAGCACCTGGCTCAACTTGGAGCCACCCAGCACTGCTCAGAGTGAGGCTTATGGACCCCCTGCTTCTCAGACCTCAAGGACACAGAGCCCAGGTGGAAACTGGGTCTCACCCAAAGCCTACGTTCTTGCACCTCTCCCTCCAGGTTCCTCCTTCATCTTCACTTGGAGAGGAGACCAGCCAGTGTCGAGAACAGTGGCCTCTCACTCTGGCCATGGCTTCGGCATTGTGTGCGTGTGTGTGCGTGCGTGTGTGTGCGTGCGTGTGCGTGCATGTGTGTGCGTGTGTGTGTGTGTGTGTGTTGGAGGATGTCTGCCTCCAGCCCCCATGAGATCAGAGGAGAAACTGAGGCACAGGAAGGGGAAAGGACTTCTCCAAGATCAGAACCAAGCACATACCAGAGATTGGAGTTGCCAGGTAAGAGAGGGCCAAGGGTAGAGGGGCTCTAGAAAGAGGCCCCTTCCTTCTACCTGGTTATCTCTAGACACTGCTGAAGACCCCTCCATGGATCCCAGGCCACATACCCCTTTTAGCACAGTTGACTCTGGTCACACCAGATTAGCCCCCATTCCACACCAGCACTTTGCTGCCTCCAGGCCTTGACTCACGCAGTCTGCATCTCATCTTTCAGAGCTCAAGTCTCCCCAGATGCCCTGCTCCCTCACCCTTCTAGCCCTCAGAACCCTCAGAGACACCCTTCTTCCATGGTGGTAGTCCCCAAAGAACAATGAGGAGTCTGACAGGCAACAGGAACAGCACAGGCGAAGGTGTGGAGGTGGGACATTAACTGCTGTCTTCCCTCCAGGATCCTACATGGCATCTAGTGAGGGCCTGCTGCTGCTGTTAGAAGTATACCGGTGAGTGTGCAGTTGCCTGCAGGCTCCAGGGATTCCCCAGATGAGGAATTTTAGGTGACATCTGGCCCGTCACGCAGTCCAACCTGACCTCTCCTGGAGGCCGAGTTCTATCTCCTGTGGGCCCAGGCAAGCTGCAGCCTGGTAGAAGCTAAGAGCCCTAAACCCAGAGCCATAGGGACTTGGGTCTGTGTCCCTGGTGGATTCTGTCCCAGCCAGGTGGCTTCCAGCAGGTCATTTTACCTCCTAAGCCTCAGTGGCCCTTATCTGTAAAATAGGGGAGTAGATGTGGAGAGAACATTGGAACTTGTGCCAGTGACGAGAGCACTTAGCCTCCTCCATCTCTGCTGGCCTCTGCAGACATCTTGCCAGCAGGAGAGGCTGGAGGAGGGGAAGGGAAGTGGCACCTGAGGGAGCCAACCCTCCTGTGTCTCCTTCCCTGGTGGCCCAGGAGCATCTAACTCCCTATGGGCACAGATGGAGAGGCCAAGACCGAAGAACTTGTCCACAGTGGCAAAACCTTGGCAAGAAAATCAAAAGGATGGCAGCAGGGAACCAAGTCTCAAAGGAAAGCCAGCTCTCAAGGGCACAAGGCAAGCCAAGGCCTTACTGGGCTAGAACCACTGATCCACCGTCACTCAGAAACCTGCTGTGGCTCCCCACTGCTTACAGGCTGATGTTCGGGGCCATCCGCTTGCTCCTGTGATTGACCCCAAAGTCATTCCTCACCAACTGTCCTTACTATCTCCCGTGCCTTCTTCCCCAAATGTAAGGCCCAGGCCATGCCCATGCAACGCCTTTTACTTTCAGGAGCTCCTTCCTCTCATCTCATACCCAGAAACTGTGCCACCCTCTGAGATTGCCTTCTTCCAGGAAGTCTCCACTGAGGTACTTGGTAAACCTGCATGTGTGCCACATGCTGCCCTGAGCTCAGTGTCTCATCCAATGCTCCGCATCCTTTGAGGTGGTCGTCATGATCTAGTACCCTTCACAGAGGAGGCGCTACTGTGAAGTGAAAAAACTTGCCTAAAGCCCCATAGTCATGAGGGAGGGCCCAAGGATGCCGCCTTCCCTCTGGGCTGACCCTGGGGACCACGAGCTTCTAGGTCCCCAGAGAAAGCAGACCCCATTCTGGAACCATCTCATGGAGCTTGCAAAAACCATGAGCCCAGGACACAAGATGGAGCCAGGCTGAGAGAGAGAGAGGGGAGCTGTCCCGCTGAGTTAATTTACAGGCTGGGCTGTCTCCTGAGCCCCAAGTTCTCCATGAGCACATGCCACCCCTTGCCTGGGCCCTCACCCTGCCCCTACACTGGCCACCTCGCTACACAGCACCCCCTTTTTCCTTTCCTTCATGAGGTAACGGAGAAGCTGGGATGGTCCCTGTACTGACATTTACCACAAGTTTACCATGTGATTCCCCTCTAAGTCATGCCGGTGGCACCTACTCCCAAACTTTGTCCATCTCTGTAGAGGCCATCACCGTTTCTTTGGGGTTCTGGAAACTTCTTTGCCACACTCCCTGCACCCAGCCGCTGCTGTCGATTGTCTCTCCAAAATACTCCTCCCACCTCCACTGTCCCCACCCTGGGCCCCATTTTTTTTGGAAGCCCCTCACTGGTCCCTCTAGCACTTGGCTTATTCAGAGGAAAAGCAGAGGTCTCTGTAGAATAAAATCCATACACATCACCTGCACCATCTGGCTGTTCCTCCCCTGCTGCCATTGCTCATCCTCTCCCAGAGCTCCTGGTTCCACATGCTCCAGCCCCACCAGCTTCCTTAAGCCACAGCAAGCCCAGCATTTTCATCCCAGACCACTCTCTCTAAAGCAAGCCTGGTCCCTACTCCTGCTCCCTCATTTTAAATTTTAGCCCTGCATTTTTTTTTTAATCACACTTTTACTATTTATTGTAATAATATTGGTCTGTTTATTTATTTCATCTATCTGAAACATAAGCTCCCTGAGAGCAAAAAATACATTCATCATCTGGGCACACCCAGGGCCTGGCACACCACAGGCACTCAGTAAATAGTCACCAAACATACATCAGGGGTTGGCACACTAGAGCCCACAGACCCAAATCCAGTCACACCCGTTAGTATTGTTTTTTTTCACTCCAACAGCAATGACCCCTGAACAAATACAATTGACCCCTGAACAACATGGGGTTATGGGTACTGACCCCTACACAGTCAAAAATTCAAGTATAACTTTTGACTCCCCAAAGATTTAAATACCATCCCTCTGTATCCATAGGTGACTGATTCTAGGACCCCGCAGACAGCAAAGTCCACCAATGCTCAAGTCCCTTATATAAAATTATGTAAGAACAATGCATACAGTTAGCCCTCTGCATCCTCAGACTCCCAAATGTGGATGCAAAACCCACAGATACAGAGGGCCAGTTATATATTTGTTGAAAAAAATTTGTGTATAAGTGGACCTGTGCAGTTCAAGCCCATGCTGTTCAAGGGTCAGCTGTACTTTGCATGTGCCTTGTAAAGCCACAAATATTTACTATCTAGTCCTTTAGTAAAAAGAAAATTAGCTAATCCCTGGTATATATTATTTCATTCAGATCCCATGAGATGGGACTAGAGATACATCAATGAGCAAAGAGAAAAAAATGGGAGAGACAGACAATAGACATTCTAAGTAAATTATTTAGCATACCAGAAGATAATACATGTATGAAAAAGAGGGAGCAGGTAAGGGCATCTGGACCTGCTAGGGCAGGAGTAGCCTCATTGAGAAGGTGAAATTTGGAAGACTGAAGAGAGGTGAGAGAGTGAGCCACGTAGATATCCAAGGGAAGAAGACTCCAGGCAGAGGCCACAGCAAGTGCAAAGCCCCTGAGGTAGGACTGTGGCTGCCATGTTCAAGGGAGTGCAAGGAAGCCAGTGTGGCTAAAGTGCCATGTGCAAGAGGGAGGAGAGAGAGGAGTGAGGTCAGTGAGGTAGCAGGGACTGCGTCTTGATGGACTCTGTAGGCCATGGTTGGCCTTTACTCCAAGTGGCCTGGGATGTCATGCCAGGTTCCTCTATTTTCAAGAGGTTAAAATGGCCCAGAGCCACACAATGATAGAGCTGGACCTTGGTTCCCTCTAACCCCATCTGAGGGTCAGTGTAGTAATCTCTGTATCCTGCCATGGCATGTTCTTTCTGCAGATCAGGGTCCCCCCGAAGATTTGGCAGCAGGCAGGCCCTGTGGTGTCTGTCTGGACAGGTTGCAGCTGGGATGGGAACTGTAAGTGCAGGCACACGAGGCATTCCTTAGGCTCAGCTCAGTGAGGTCAGGACCTCTGGGTGCATGCACTTCAAACAGCCTCAGCCCGGGGCCATCAGTCAGGATGGCCCCAGGTCCTCCCAAACCAAGCCCAACAATAAATACTCCCTCTCTGCTTCATCCAGGCAGCCCCAGCTTTGATGCTGAAGCTCCAGCTTTAACGTCAGTGGTTGCTCCCCATTTTATAGGTGGGTAAACTGAATCGCCCCCATCGCAAAGTTTGAAGTGTTATGTCCTGGCAGTGATTGGGCCCCTGGCCTGGGGGGCAGAGCCGGGTTCTGTGATCTCTGCCTGATTCATTGTGACCTTTAGCAAGTGACAGCCACTCTCTAGGTCTCAATTGTCTCATCTGTAAACTAAGGTTGCAGGACAAGGTAGTCTCTAAGGACTCTCCTGCTTAAATCCTCCACCATTCTGGAAGTCCCACCCAAACCACTCACTTTAGCTTGCTCTGAGTGTGAGATATAAACCCTACCACAGAATATCAACAGGATGAAACTGAATAAAAGAACTCCCTAGGCCCACAGCTCTGCCTCACCAGACTCCACTGGGGTCCCGCTTTCTTCTCACCTCTATCCCTTCCAGTCTGTTCTCTGAGAGGAGCTAGAGGCATTAATGTAAACCTGACAATGCCATACGCTGCTTAAAGCCCTCAATGTTGTTTGGGTACTTCAACCCCTTACTAAATAGAACCCCAGCCTCATCCCTCACTGCAGCCCTCTAGGCCAGGGATGGGACACTGTCAGCCCGAGAGCCAAACGCGACACACAGGTCTGTTTTGTGTGGATGCTGGAGCATGGTGTCTGGTTCACCTCAGTCTCCACTATTCTCTGTCACCTCACTCCCAGCTCCTACTCCCAGTTTCCTCTCTGGTCCCCAGAAATGTCTGACTTAGAGACCCCTAGAGTCTAGGCGTCCTGACCTGACCATCCCCAGACACATCCCACACCATGCCACCTCTCCTTGGCATTTGTTCCCCATTCCCTCCTCTGTGTCCCTTTCTCCATTAAAGCTCTATTCAAATGCCACTTCGGCAAGCTCTGCCAATGCCTCTCTTCTGAGGTCCATGCTTGTCCTCCCTGTGTAAACATCTGCCACCCACTGCAGTGCCAGCCCATGGAGAGCAGGGATCAGGTCTTATTTTTTCTGTATCCTTGTTCTAGCAGGATGGCTGGTATAGGGAGCTAGGAAATGTGTGAGAGGAAGACGGAGAATGAATGGAAAATTCTGACCTGGGCCTCAAGAGCAGTGCAAAGCCAGGTCCTCTGGTCTCTAAAGGGAAACCCCAAGAAAGAAAACCTCTGATGATACTCTGACAGCATCTAATATGGAAGGCTGCATGATGTTTGCTTGCTAACTAACCTGGGAAACTTGCTCACAAGAACAAGATGCTCTGGGCCCCCGTGGAGTCGTCCTGTACACGCACAGCACAGGTAGAGGCTCGGCCAAGGCTCCCAGGGTCTCCAGCCCAAGGTTGGGGAAGGGGAGGTCAAATGTCGGGTCAGACCCCAAGTTGGGGCCCAGTAAGGGTTCCAGGTAGACCCCAGGCCTGCCCTGGGGCCACTGAGAAGCAGTCACCCTTCCAGGGCCTTATTTCTAGGAAGCCCTGCCTGCGGCTCCTGGACAACCATCGAGGCCTCTGCCTCTAAGCCTCCACAAAATCGATGACATCTCTGGGTTTGCCTAGTCCCAAAGGCAATTTGAAGAGGACCCAAGAGGTGACTTTGCCACTGGGGAGAAAGCTGGGCCTCACTAAGCACTCTCCAGCTCTCGTCAACCCCCTACAGACACTGCATGAGCCAGGCATAGCCAGTCCTCCACGTTTGGTAAGCAAGGCTCAGGGTCTTGACCAGGTTCACTCAGCCAGAAGCAGGCCAACCCAGGCCTCAGGCTCAGGACCCCTGCCTCCTGAGCCCTGTCAGAAGCTGGGGCAGAAGGAGGCTAGAAAGCCCTAGGGGTCAAGGGCTGGGGGAATGAGAACCAGAAGGCTTGGCACTGCCATGAAGTCACCAGTAGGCTTGGGACAAGTTATATTTCCTCCCTGGGCCTTGGTTTCCCTATATAAAATCAGGGGCTTGGACAAAACAAGCCATCAGCGAGTTCCGATGGACATTCTGGTGTGCTTTTTGCTCTTAACTTTCCAGCAGGACCAGACCCAGACCCCCAAGGAAAAGAAGCCTGGAGGTTCCTACTGCAATTGCACCCCAATGCCAGGAGAGTGCTGCTAGGGATCAGTTTGTGATGGAGCTGACCAGCCACTAGCGAGGCAGGAGGTCGGCTCCATGTGGCCTCTGAAATGCCCAGACTGCAAAGGCTTCCCGCGCCCCCTAGTGGGAAGTCCTGGCTCACCTCGGTGCAGGCCCAGGGAAGAAGGGAGGCGGAACTGGGACCCCACCGCCAATCCCTGATACTGGGAAACCCCCTGACACGCCCCTATCTAGAATCTGAGGAAAAGCAGGAGCCACAGGACCTACATTCTGCCCCAACGATGTTGGCTGCTGAGCCTACACTGTGAGGGCCCTGAACCAGCTGTCACAAACTCTTAGTTTGACCCTGAGCAAGTCATCGTCCCTCTCTGGGCCTCAGTTCCCCCAGCTGTTAAACAAGGCAGAGATGGGTGAGAAGATGTCAAGTCTGTTTGAGGGTCCTCCACAGCGGAGGTTTTCAAGCAATGCTGGCTGGAAGCTGGGGTGGGGGCAGCTCACCGATATCTTAGTGAAGACGGACATCAGCAGAGACAAGACAGACAGGTACATGCGGATCCGCTGGCCTCCATAGCGCTTCTCGATGTATTCAGGCATGGTGACGATCTGGGGGAGGCATGAGGGGCAGGGGTTAAGCACTCCCCTAAGATCATGCCCAGCATTCAGGGCTGGGAGCTACTCAAGGGCAAGACCCCGGCCTACACTGGGCCTTGAATTCCAGGCTAGGGTCTCTGACCATATCATAAAGGTTTTAGGGGAAGGGCAGGCTTATATTGCCTCTTCAGGGCTGATCTGAGGAACTGATTGGAGGGTTCATGGCTAGGGACAGAGGGACGAGTTTAGAAGCTATTATGACAAATCCAGATGAGTTATGTTGAGGCTGGATGGGAAAGGTGGCTATGAGGGACCGAGCAGGGAACAGACTGAGAGAGATCCAGGAAATAGAATCTGCTGGACTTAGACTGCTCAGCTGGGGCCGACGGAGTAGGCAAAGTCAAAGACAGTGTTGCCCAGGTGTGCCATCAAGATGTGTAGCCCAGGTGTGTGCTATGTGCCCAGGTAGATGGAGTATCATCCCTAAGATGCAGCATGCAAGGGCATTTGAAACCAGCAGACATGTACCTAGGCTCCCAGGGGACCTGCCTTTGTTGGTTGATAGGAATGTTAATTGGATTAATAACGAATCAAGCTCTGAGGGTTCACTGACTTGTGAATGAAGCCAGGGGGTCCTGCCCATCACTGTTACCAAATTGGACCAAGGCCCAGACCCAGGTAAGGCCACCCTGAGGCCCCAGGAGCAGGCTCACCTCCGAGGAGATGTAGATGGGCACAAACACCCACGCCAGGGCCAGCAGCACGTATGTGGCCTGTGGGAGACAGAGGCAGGTAAAAAAAAGTGGGCACAGCTCCCACAAGCCCTGCTCCAGAAATGAAACTGGGACCAGGGTATAGAGGCCTAACTTGCCATTAGAACTTGAGGCAGCCCTTTCCCCTCCTTGCATTTCTGTAAACAGATGACTGGGGGCCAAGGTTAACAGCTTTTTTCCTGCTGGTTTGTTCAGTACTTTGACATTCTGAAGACCAGACTTCTCCACAAATACCACTGCACAGAGACCATCTGGACATTGGCTGACCCAAGTTGCTGGGAGATGCCCCTCTGGCCATCCAGGGGTACACTCCAATGGAGCCCCTATCCAGGGCTTTCAATGTGGCTGTGCCCTCCCATAGTGTACGCCCACCATCTTGGAGCTCACATTCCACTCAAAGCCTGCCACAGCCAGTCCTCCCGCTGCGCCAGAGCCCGCCAGTCCGATGAAGAGGCCTGAACCCTCACTGCTGGCAAAGAGGGAGGCTCCAATCTGGAGAAGAGAGAGCAAAAAGAATCAGCTGCAGGCCCACCCAGACTCCAAAGTCCCTGCCCTTCATACAATTTCCAGCACCCCACCCCAACACCCTCAGCTTTGGGACCCCCTGCCAGCTTCAGCCTGCCCCATCACCACCTGCTTGAGCCGGCCTGGGAAGTGAACTCAGGGATGCAGATGCTGGCTGACTTAGAGGTCAAATGTGGCTCCACTGGAAGGAGGGGCAGGAGGAGTCAGGGTGCACTTACCGGCCACCATGTCATGTCTCGGCTCGCCAGGAAGTAGCCAGTCACCGTGTTCCTGCTGGCTCGACAGGAGGCCTGCAAGAACAGAGGTAGAAACTGGAACCCTTGTGCATTGCTGGAAAATGGTGCTGCTGCTGTGGTAAATAGTCTGGTAGTTCCTCAGAGAGTTAAACATACAATTACCCTATGGCCCAGCAACTCTACTCCAACGTGCATATCTAAGAGAACTGAAAACAGGTGTTTAGACAAAACTCCTACATGAGTGTTCATAGCAGCAGTATTCAAAATAGCCAAAAGGTGGAAACAACCCAAATGTCCATCAGCTGACGAATGGATAAAACGTGGTCTCTCCACACAATGGAATATTATATAAACATAAAAAAAATGAAGTACTAATACATGGGTGACCCTTGAAAACATTCTGTCAGGTAAAAGAGAGGCCACATGTGGTGTGGCTCCATTTATATGAATGTCTAGAATAGGTAAATTCATAAAGACAGAAAGTAGATTAGTGTTTGCCAGGGGCTGAAGAGAGTGGGGAATGACTGCTAATAGGTATGGGGTTTCCTTTTGGATGATGAAAATGTTTTGGAACTAGACAGAAGTAATGATTGCACAACATTGTGAATGTACTAAGTGCCACTGAATCGTACATTTCAAAATGGTTAAGATGGTGAGTTTTATGTTTTGTGAATATTACTCAATTTAAAAAAATGAAGAAAGCCAGCCAGCTCCCCACCCACAGCTTGCCACCCCTATCCCTGGGCACAGCAGTCAGCTTCTCCAGGACTTCACTCATTTCCAGCCTACTCCAGACCATCACCCAGCCCCGCTGAGTAGCTCCCCCTGGGGGAGCTCTTAGCCTGGGGGAGAGATGGACATAGACATAACAGAGCTGATGACTGTGAACAGCTGGCTGAGCCAGGCTCCCCCATGTTTCTTATCCTTGACACTCTAAACAGCCTCAGGGCAGTTACTGTGGCCCTAAAGGTCAAGTCTGTTTTGACCTCCCTGAGATCATTCCATAGTAAGCAGCTGAGCTGGACTGTCTTTTTTTGCCTCCTGATTAGGACTTTTAGCCACAGAATCTGCGAGCCCTTTGGCCTTAATTTCTTATTTCTAATATTTATATTCGTGATAAATTTCAACAAATTACGACATTTCAACAAATTATCAACAAATTATTGAATATTCATACATGCTCTTTTGAGTGGAGTATAGAAATTTATGCTCCATGTGTATGAAATTAAAAATCTGAAATTTGCCTGGAAGCAAATCCTGGCTCCTCCTAGCCATGTGACCTTGGGCAAGTGACTTAACCTATGTGCCTCAGTTTCCTCTTCTGTAACAAGGGCCTACTAAAAGTTCTCTCATAGGGCTTTTATTAGATTTAATGAGTTGATACATGTAACATGCTGACAATGGCACCTGGGACCTGGTAAGCATTCAGTAATGGTCAGTGCTTAGGTGGCTTTTTCAAGCCCCCATTTAGTGCTATCTGGATGAGGGAAATTGAAAAGATATGAAATTGAAAACAGGAGAAATTTGAAAAGAGGGATACAGGAGGTGTATTTAGATATATATTTCGCATTCCTTTTTCACAAGGTACATATAACATAAGGCTGAATTACAAAATATCAATTACTATATAGGCTACTTTCTTCCTGACTTTAATTGCCCAACATCCCATTTTCAAGACGATTAAGCCTCTTCAAATTGTCTGGATCTGCCATTCAAAGCTTTTGATGTGGCTCCTTCTTGCCTTTCTCCAGCCCCAGCTCCCCCTACTCTCTCTCTGTCCCTGTGATCCAGCTGTACCGAATGTACTGAAGACACCCACAGTCTTAGCAAGGACAGCCGCATCCAACTGCGTAGGCTATGAACCGCACAGATCCAGAGTCGCTCTGGCTTTAACTAGTGCTTTTTTCTAACATGTCTTCTCATCTCTCAAGGATATAGTGGGCATTGCCAATTGTCTCCTTATTTCCCTTTTTCTTCTCCAGGGGGTCTTGTCTTTCCCAGCAATTGGTTCAAGTGGTCCCAACCCAACCTCTAGCCTTCAGGGGCCCTGAGCCTATCACATTCCTTAGCTGTCACTCTTCGTTCAGGGAAAGTCACTTACTTAAGAGGGTGTAGTCAGTGTAGCTGGGATTGCTCCCGGCTTCCTGGGAGGTAGACAAGGAAGCTGAGGCTCTGGGGGTTGCTGGCAGCCACATATACCTAGTTAATGTCCACTGAGAGCCCCTTTGTGGCAGAGTTGGTTCCAAATGCTTTACCTGTATGAAGTTTTCAGTCCTCACGACAGCCCCATGAAGCTGGTACCATAATCATTCCCATATTACCAACAAGGAAACCAAGGCTTTCAGAGGTGAAAGGACACCCAGCTAGTAAGTGGTAGAGTCAGAATTTAAATCCAGACTCAATCACTAAGCTGGGCAACTTGGCTCCATGAAGAAAACTGGGCCCAGGACAAAGCCGCACATGGACAGAGGCTGAGAGAACGACAGTGAAGTGTAGCCACAGCCTTGATGATACTGTGAACCCCTGGATCACACTATACCTGAAGTCTTCCCTAAATGTGTGTCAATTACATTTCCTTCACTATTTAATCTCATTTGAAATAGGATTTCTGTCACTTGTTAACAAATACTCTAACAGATGTAAAGGTTTAACTCATGGTCCTCTCCCACAGGAGCACCTCCTTGAAGGCCCTCCCCTGGTGCTTCTAACCTCACAATCAGAGCACTTTTGCAGAGTGGTACTTGCCCAGCTTGCTCTGTCTGCCTCTGGGCCACGAGCACCCTGTGGGATCTGGTTCCCGTACCCTCCTCATGTGGCTCTTTTCTGCATACGCTCATAGCTCTCTGCCAACTGCACCCGGCTGGGCTGGTGAAGGAACTTTCACAACTCCACTGACCCTGCTGCCTGGGCACCAGCTAGGCTGAGCTGGGAGAAGTGGGTCAGGCCAGCAAGGGCTAAGTCACTGAGCAGGATAGGGCCTGGCTTCAAATGCCCAAACACCTTTCTTAGGTGTGCGCTTCCAACTAAATTCCCCACTAGTGCTGGCCATGAAAGCCCTCTCACTCCTCTTCCCGGCCTGGCTCTCACCTGATCTCATCCAGAAAGGCTCAATTGCCTGTTCTGTACCACGCAGATGCCCCTCCTCTGAATTCCCAGCCACTGACACTCCCAGGAACATTGCCCTCTATGATTGGCACCAGATTCTCATATCCACCAGCCCCCAATGCTCCTTGGAAGAGCCCTGGGAGGTGGGCTGCACAGATATCCATGTTGTGTGTTTGGGGAAACTGGGGGCCAGAGAGGTTAACTAATGAGCTCTAAGTAACAGACAGAGTCAAGACTACAGCCCAGCTTTCCTGATGGCCACAATGATAATTTACTACTTAATCACAAAAGAATAAATTTGAATTACTGCTGCTGTTGTGGCTGCTTTTACTACTACCACCACGATCACCACCAATATCACAATCACCACTGTTGCCACCACCACCACCATTATGACCAACACCATCACCGCCCCCACCACAACCACCACTATGACCGTGACCACTCTCACTACTATCACCATCACTGCCATTGCTACCACAACCATCACTGCTACCACCACCAAAAGCAACACCTCTGTGATCACCACCACCATCACTAACACCACAGCCACTAATACCACCACCACCACCACCACAAACCCCGCCACCACAATGGGAGGACAAACGATGTGCATGGCACCTGCACAGCAGCGGCCCCATTCCACTGAATTCTGGGATGGGCTCAGATCATGTCCCTTTTTTTTTTAATCAAGGATGAGAGAAACTGGCTTATAAATTGGACTAGATGGCGGACACTGATGCTCTGGAGAGCTTGTTAAAAATCCGGATAACCAAGCCCAGCATGCTCCTTCCGTCTCTGGATTCTGACCCAGCAGATCTGAAGGACAATTGGGAACCCCTGTGATTCTGTTGTTCAGGCAAATGTTTGCCTTGGGAGCCCATTTAAAATCAAGGAGACAGAGGTCAAGAAGACGACGTTCTGCACCGGGGCCCCCAGCTATATAAAAGCCCAATGAGCTTCCTGTAACGCCTGCCCCTTAGAGAGGACTTCCCCTTCCTTATTTCGTGAGTTGAGAAACCATTGCCCAGAGAGAGAAAGGAGATTGGTCAAAGTCTCCAACAAATCTACCCCAGGGCTGGGAGCAGGACCCCAGCGGGCACAGGCCACCCCAGGAGATGACGCAGATGCCGCAGGGACGTGCCACTCAGTTCCCACACCTGGGTTCGGTCCTCTTACCCATATGCCCACGGCCACATTCAGGGCAAAGTACACCACGATGACGATGATGTCAGCCACAAACAGCTGTGGCCCAAGAGTGTGGGGGCCACTGGTGGAGTTGTCCACTGCCATCTTGTAGCAGGCACCCACTCTGAGCTAGAAGGAACGGGGGTCAAACAAGGTTGGATAGGACTTCCTGGCAGAAATAAATTGATCATTAAACCGAGCAGGAAGGTGGCACCTCCAGCCCACGGTGTG